TAATAATGTTAAGTAAGGGAAGTAAGTAGAACTTACCTAAGACGAGGATGTTCTTATTTGATGGTAGCTTGTTACTGCTACTGTTTTGCACTTCAGCCAAGATGGAGGACCTTGCAGATCGAAAGAAATCACATTTTGCAGTGAGAATATTAAATAATTCTATCCATATTTGTCAAGTACTTACTGCTATAATCTTAAAAATAGTAGGAGTGACTTACTTATGTCTATATTAACACTGTTCCAATTTTACATTGAGTATCGAATACAAGCCTATATTCAGAGTCGTTGCTTATTCTTAAGATCGTCTTAAGTATGGATTTAAGTCCCTGTTTTCTGTACAAGACAGGAACTGGAAATGTGGGATAGGAAATGCTTAAAACTTAAGAATAAGCAACGACTCTGACTTACAGTAGTAATTCTGTCAATGGCCATGTGGCGCAGTTGTCAAAATACTTAATGCTATTCTTTGTAATAATAAAAATGACTTACTTACGTCTATAATAAAACTGTTTTGATTATACATTGAAGTGAATATTGAACAATTTCTGTGTAAAAACTGTGTAATTAATTTGTATGAGTCACACCACTTGTCAAAATACATATTGGAATTTTGTGTAACACTAAAACCACCACTTTGGACCTACGATTAGGTGAATATAAATTAAGGTAGTGAATTATAATTACCATAAATTGTCTTTATTCTCTGGGTCCTCCTTCTTCTTCGACTGAAATCCATTGCTGAGCATCATATCAATCGCTGTCGCAGCCATGGTCGTCCATTTGACAGGAATGGTCTGGACAGGAATGAAAACAGCTATTGATTCGGGCGCGTCTCGTGGCTAACTTCAAACCCGTGACTTTGTCCACCGATAAGATACGTCTACAGTACAAAATATTCTATGTTTTACAATAAAAAAGTTCGATTTTCTACAAAGAATCGAAATATGAGATTGTAGCTACGCTTTTTAGGCAGCTTTTGAACAAATTGTGTCAAGTTTAACGATAAGTGAGAGAGAGAGAGACTATGAGAACATGCTATCTCTCTTTCGCAACGCGGTGATTCGGTTAGAGGGGACAGCAAGCAACTAATCACGACGTTGCAAGAGAGAGATAGCTGTTGCCCTCGTCTGCGTAACCATTTTTCATTGACTGATACACTGGAAACTTTCCGGAGATTGCCGAAGCAACTTGGAATACGCAAGCCTTGAGTTGTCGCTTTTCGAATGAGCAAACCTTATTTAAGTTCAGATTATGAATACATGAGGTCTTGAGGCCATCCAAGGCCACCTTACACTGAGTGTAACCAACATCTCCTTACCAAAAGTGAGAATCGACGCTAATGCGCATGCTTTGAATTCGAAAACTATAGGAAAAAATTCAATGGCAGCCAGCAATGCCAGCGCGTGCGTCATTTTTGTGTTTTAATACGTCCTGTGATAATTGTAATAAAATGTAATTGTGAATGCTGTTAAAT